GGCGTGGGGGCAGGCCGCCTTCAACTGGCGGTGGCGCGGGGGCCTTGTGCAGCACGTGCGTCCGGCGCAGGTTCATGTGCAGCCGGCAGGGCCCATCAGGTGCGCCTTCCATGCCTGAAAGAGAGAGGCACATGGGGCAGCCATCAGGCCACCAGCAGGGCCACCAAGACAGTGAAGCCAGAGGGAGCCATGCGCCGCAGCTGCGGGAGTAGCGCCGAACTCTGTGTGGGTCCTGAGTCTGCCTGCTCCCCATCTCCGAGCCCGCCGGGCAGGTGCGCCCGGGAAGCACCCAGTCTCGCAAGACGGCTGGCCTGTTTCACATCCCCTGGACCTCACTGCCACTGGGCACAGCAGGCTAGGACTGCTCCGCCGAGGTGCGCGGGTGTGTGATGGCGGTTCAGGGGCACACAGGCCGGGGCGCAGGGCAGCGGTGCTGAGGGTGGCCCTGCTGCACAGCCAGCAAGGAGACAGACTGTGGTCCTACAGTGATGAAGGGAGCTCTGGCAACGCTGGGAGGAGCTGGGAAGTGGCTCCTTCCCCGGTCCAGCCCTCGGACAGGGACGCAGCCCGGCCGACACCCAGTGCTGCCTGGTGAGACCCTGAGCAGAGGGCCCGGTCAGGCTGTGCTGGGACTCTCAACTCAGAAACTGAGCGAGCAGACGGATGTTTCCGCCGCCCAGCGAGCGTGTGGCGCTTTGCTAAGAGACACGGAGAACGCGGAGGGACGGAGAGCAGCGCCAGCGCCTCGTGGCTGTTTGCTGGGTGCCAGACGCCGCCCAGTCAAGGCGGACGCTGGGGGCGGGAGGCGGGGATGGGAGCTCAGCAAGGGGACCCACTGGGTCTCTGGGGGAGGGGCTGGCCTTGTGTAACAGAAGAGCGGGAGGGTGGCAGTCGCCGCAGGGGCCCAGCCGGGGTGGAGGAGGCTTGAGGGCTGCTCACATTCTTCTCTAAAAAGGCCGAACAGTCTGAAGCCCGTCCTGCGCGAGGAGGGCGGTGCGCCGGGCAGGGCCGCAGCTTCTGTGGGGCCTTCTCTGAAGGCGCTTCGTTTTATAGACTCGGGAACCATGTAAATATTTTAAATAATTATAGAACTCGATTTTTAAAACCCCCTAAAACTTGACCGTAAAATGAAACAACGAAGCTGAAAGGCCCCGCGGTTGGCGCCAGACCGAGCAGAGCGACTCCGGGGACTACTGAGGGGCCCGGGGCCGCGTCCCGGTGGCAGGGCGCCCGGGAAGGACAAGGGGCGGGGAAAGCTCATGTCCCGTGGCCGTCCCGGCGGGTGGCGCCAGCGCTGCCGTCCTGAGACTGTCCCAGGAGGTCAGCCATGCCTGATACTCCGACTCTAACTTCTCAGGAGGAGACGCAGAGGTGACACGGACGGGGCGGAGACCCGTGCAGCTCCGACTCTGAACTGGAAGTGCCGGCAGGGTCTTGGAGGTGTTCCTCTCCACGCTTCCCCGGCTCCGACCACTGAGAGCCCTAGAACGGCGATGACCTCGGAGCGAGGAGCACCCGGGGGGCCTGGACTGTCACCTCCCTGGAGGGAGCTGGGATCCAGGCCCCCGTGAAGAAGGGGCTGGTCCCAGGCCGGGCGCAGGGACGGAAGGCTCAGCCAGGCCCCTGTTCACACCAGAAAGCGGGAAGCTCAGGTCCGCCGGGGCCGTCAGCAATGCCGGGGGCCCTTCTGAAGGGGCGACACCGGCCTGAGGTGGATAATCCACCATCACTAAGCAGGTGACTGCGATGACTGAACACATCCAGAGCTTGAATCCGTGATTTCATGCCGATACTAAGACCTGAGCAAGTACGCTCCCACTGGAAGATACCGGGGACCCAGCCTGTGAGTCTGAAAACCCGTAAACAGTGGGAGAGAGCTGGACGGCCCCCTTGTGCTCCCCCCACACAGCCTGGCCTGGGGACCCAAGGGCAGAGGGGACACCTTTCTGCTTAGAGAAGCATTCTAGCCACCGATGAAGGCGGTGGGGCAGTGCTGGGGCGTTTGGACCCTGCAGCCCCGATGAGGTCACGATCGAGCCTCGAGAGTCACACATCCCTGCCTCCTCGGGGAAGGACCCATGGCCATCCATGAATTGACCACAGGGGAAACTGATAACTCAGCCCTGTATCTGACCCAGCCTCTAGATCCAACAAGGAGCCCCCACGGGACAGACACCTCCCTCCCTGTGGGAAGGAAGCCACTGAGAGAGCCATCAGCCACCCCCGGGGCCTCGTCCAGGTGCCGCTGAACAGATCAGCATTGTGCGGTCCCTGGCCCGGGGGGCACTGTCTGGGGAGCTGGGCGGATGCTGCTGCGGCTACGGGACAAGTCCTTCCAGGGCGTGAGGTAACAGGACACGCTGTCTGGGGAGCAGGTGACCAGGGCCCCACATGAGGCCAGGCTGGCGGTGAGCAGACAGCTACACGTGGAGGGTGGGGATGTGCGGGTCCCCTGCTTCTCTGTTGGGTACTTGACATTCTCTGAGAAGGGGCAGAGAGGATGAGCCAGGACAGCGGGAGGGCTGGAGGGATGGGTGCCCGGCCCCACGTTGGGCACGAGTCTGTGTCAGGAGAAAGCCACGGGCTGGTCTGCACCACCTGCTGGGCTGGGACCAGAGAGCAGAGGCCAGATGCGGCAGGTGGGTGGCAGAGGCAGGGTCCTGGGGGCTGAGCCACTACGGGCCCCATGGGGCTCGGCATCCCCTGCGGGCACACAGAGCAGGGCGCCGCTGACATGTGAGCCAGAACAGCCATCACCCCTGATGCCGAGGACGGGCACATGAAGGCAGAGGTGGGAGAGGGAGACCCTGCGATGTCAGGCTGGGGCGGGGAGCACCAGGGACCAGACACAAGATGGAGTTTCCAGACTGGCCTGGGCTCGGCTTTAGCTGTCAAGAGGGGCCAGAGTGTTATGGAATCTGGCCAAGATGCCAGTGAGGCCCCGGCTCGGCGATGAAGGCCAGGCCTGGGAAAACCAAACCACTCACGCTTCTACCCCAGGAGGTGGGGCGCCTCCGAGAGACACTAGAGCTGAACCGGCCAGAGAGCCTGGCGAGGTGGGGGCAGAGCCCGTCCACTCCCCGGGCGCCCGCCATCCTCGTGGTCGCCCCTGGGCTGGGTCCACCCCCAAACAGGCCCCGCACCTCTTCTCCAGGGCTGAAATTCTCGTGGCACAGAGGACACCGGTTTGCTAGCTTCTCGGGTTTGGCAGCTGAAACGAGTTCAGGAAGACGAGACCTGGTTACTCTTGTGAGACGGGGCCGGGGCCGGGGACGGCGGGTGCACCCCTGCAGCCCCGCGGACACAGATCCGAGCCCCCCCAGCCCCGCTGGCACAGACGCCCGGGGGCTCAGGGGCCGGACTCACGGTTGCAGTCTTTGGCTTTGATGTGTCTGGGCAGCTCTTCCTTCACAACAGCCTCACTGCAGCGGTGACACTTCCCGAAGCTGGCCTTCTTGTCACACTCCGTCAGCAAATGCTCCGTCAGGCTGCATATCTCCACCACCTGGGCCCGGAGGGACAAGGCGGTGCTGAGAGCATGACGGCCCCGCCCTGGGTCCCCGGCCCACGAGCGCCACGAGGGAAGGGACGCGTGCACACCTGTTCCTGCTGTGGTCCTCGCTGCGCTTTGCTAAAGACCCCACATCCTGCACGTCACGCCACCTCAGCCACATATAAAGGCCACTGCTGGGGCGGGTGGGGCGAGGAGCTACGGTTTTACTGACGACCATCCTAGGGGCCTGGAGTGTGGCCGTGGGGTCCCATCCCGGCTCCCTGCCGTTTCTGGGCACGTCACAGAGACAGGAGTGCAGCAAGATGCTGGGAGAGCCTCTCGCTACTCTGACAGCTTTGCTTGGGGTGGTTCGTACACGCCTGAGAGCTGAGCTCCCCGCCAAAGACACGTGCTGCCGGAGGGCTACGCGGGGCAGGGCGTCTACACTGCCAGCCAGGGAGTAGCTGCTGTGGGGGCGGGGGGGCTGCCCATCCACACTCTGCTCTGCAAGCCCAAGCCCCCAGGAGGGGGGAGAAGGGGCCTCCCTGCCAGGCCCCTCTGCTGTCAAAAGGGGGCCGGCTGCCTCCCAGGAGAGACAAAAGCTGCGGGGCACAGAAGTTCAACAGGACACGCGAGCACGGAGCACACAGCAGACTGACGAGGTGGACGAGGTTAAAATGCAAAGCTCCTGACGTCAGAAGGAAGCCCAGACGCGGGGGCACCCGGCGCACCCGCGGCTCGGCACGCATGTTCCCCGTGCTGAGAGCGACCACGCGTCAGTGAGACCGAGGCTGCCGCCC